ATTATTTAGCTAGCTATTTCTTTTTTTTTCAGCCATTGAGAAGTCTATTTCTTAACAATTTTATTAAGACAGAGATACTATCTTTTAAAAATTTAAATCTTTCTTTCCTTGTAATGCTCTTTAATTTTGAAATGAGTTGTATGCTGATGTTACTGTATTGTATGTTTCTGAAGCCTTTGCAAATTTTTAATTTTTTAAAGGAAACTCGGCAAAGAACAACTTGGCTCCAACCAGCCTGGAAATCTAAAGCCATTCTTTCCTTCCATGCTTGCTTCCAAAAACACACATGTATTCCTTTACCCCAAAAGCTAAGTAGTAAGTAAACCTTGACCAATCCTTTAATTCATTAATGTGTTCATCATTTATTCATCAAGAAGTCAGAGGGCTCTCACTACCTGCCAGGTACTTTATCAGGTGCTCTAGGTAATAGTGAAGTTAATCAGATCAGATCTGTCAAGGAACTAAGGCATGTACTTCCACACTGATGAAGAGAAGCAAGAAGGGAAACATGCCATGACTGCAGGTAAGGGTCTATGATGGTTTAGAAGAAAGACTATTTTCAATTATGGGGTATGGGGAAGGCGCCATACAGAGCAGTGGTGTATGAATTTGACTGGGGCTTGCATTAAATCAGAATACAAGTTGACTAAATATTTAACTGCATGGATGAGACCTATCCAATGAACATAACTTGTGTTTTCAAAGACATGGTTTTCATTGTAATCTCAAAATCATGTATTTTTGACAAACACTGATGCTTTAAAATCATAAACGAGCAACAATTCCACACAGCTGTGGACAAAAGCTTGTTCTTCACAACCTCTTACTACCTTAGAGGGGGGCTATATCTTGGCAAATAGCATGCAGTTCAAGGCCACCTAGAGGCACCTTGGAAAAAAGACCTGGAGATCTGTTTCTGAAAAATCAGCCATTGAAAACCCATGGAGCTCAGTTCCACTCTGACACACATGGAGTTGCCAAGAGTCAAAGTTGACTTGATGGCAACTGTTTTTTTTTTGTTGTTGTTTGTTTGTTTGCTGAACTCATTGGGATGGATGTGGGTAAGCAAGTTTGGAGGAGATATTGTTGTTGTTAGGTGCCGTCGAGTCAGTTCCAACTCATAGCTACCCTATAGGACAGAGGAGACCTGCCCCATACGGTTTCCCAGGAGCAGCTGGCAGATTTGAACTGCCAACATTTTGGTTAGCAGCTGAGCTCTTAACCACTACACCAACAGGGAGGAGCTAGGACCAAGCTAAATACTTCTGCCTTAGAATAATGTGAAGACTAGGGCTGGATGAGGGTAGTAGCTGGGACTCTGTGAAGCAGACTGATCAAAGAGGAGGATCAAAAAGCTCAGAGGGCCAATGCTCTAGGGCCTAGCAAGGGAGACTGCAGAAGAGATGCTGCCGTTTATATAATTTTGGAATAAAAAACAATGACCTTAAAGATATGAAACTTCCATAAGGACTAGTATTGGGTTTTGAGTACCTTTGCTTACCCTAAGGTAAAATAAAGGCGCAACATCTTCTGTGCAATATTTTCGAAACTTGCATGACAGGTGTTTTGGTGAGATACTCTGTTCTGTAGCCCGTGCCCATCACCCCACACATCTTTAGTCAAAATACAAACATTACCTAATAGTTGGTATGACGGGACTTTGAGAAAGCTGGGGAAGTGGCTTGCCTCAGTATAAGTACATGGTCAAACAGCCTGAGAACATCTGTTTTTTATTGTAAAACATATTTCTGTCTTTTTTTTCCCTTAGAATTGGCATTTGTAAGCCCCTTTGATTTAAAAGAGTTAGTCTATTTTGAGTTGTTCATTCTAGTTAGCGGTGTCATTTTGTTTTGTAACCAAGCTACAGACAAATAGGTGATAAACAAATGATTACCATAGTTTTCACAAATAATGTGCCCACATGAATAACATGCCCACACATATAACACACATAGAGCACCTAGGGAAATAATTGCTAGCGGGTTGTGTGGTTGGCAAAAACAGGTAACGCATGCGTTATTTGTGTAGAATACAGTAGTATTCCGACAATCATAATATTATTGCAGCTGGGACATGAAATTCTATAATATACACATGTAGTCCAAGGGAACAAGATTGATTACCACATGCTCCACTCAAGAGAAATGCTTTCATTTTTCCCTACCATATATCATGTAACTCAAAACACCAAGTAGTTTAGAAAGCGTTGTTCCTTTATTTCACCTTAGCATAAACAAAGTACCCAAAAGCCAATACTCTTCTTTTTTTTTTTTAATTTTCACGTCTTTAAGGTCATCAGTTCTTATCCTGAAACTACGCAGGCAGAAATTATGCTCCTCTCTATACATAAAGGGGCCCTGGTGGTGCAGTGGTTTAACTGTTTCGCTGCTAACCAAAAGGTTGGCAGTTCAAATCCACCAGTCGCTCCTTGGAAACTCTTAAGGGGAAGTTCTACTCTGTCTTCTAGGGCCACTATGAGATGGAATCGACTCAACGGCAAGTTTGGTTTTTTGGTTTTATAAATATAAAGCATAGTAGAGAGAGCTTCGGAAGGCTTTGGAATCAGGGAGACCTGGGTTCAAATACAGACTTTGTCACTTTCTAGCTGTGTGAACTTGGGCAGGACACTTAATCTCTGCTTCCTTATCTATAAAATGAGGAAAATAAAGCCAACTTCATAATCATGATGTAAGGTTTAAATCAAATGATGTGTGTAGTTCTATACCTGGTAGAGAATAGTCACACAATACATGGTAGCCATTGTTGTTTTTACTGTTATTATTACTTTGAGCCTTTAGCACTTAACTGTGAAAACCACATTGTTCTATATTAAATCAGAACTACATATGGGTTTACACATATGTAAGAGGCACCCACTGAGTATAACCTGCCATGTTTTTATTACATAGAAATGGATTCTTTCAGCCATTCAATGTACATTTTGTGAATGGAAGCCTTATTTGAGGTTGGCAACAGAGATAAAAAGATAAAAGACTTAGTTACTTCCCTCACAGAGCTCAGAGCCCATTAGGGGAGACAAACAAGTAAATGGACAATCACCATACAATGGTAACTATCATCAAGTATGGGCACACAGACAACATAGGAGCACACAGGCACATTGCCCAACTCTAGACTGGAAATCATTGACCTTGATTCTATGGGTATGGTGCCTCCAGGAGTGTACAACCCTTTGCCCAGGCCAGAGCCAGACATGGTGGGGATGCGGTAGAGTCAGAGCTGCCTCCCAGTGGAAGCAATGCCTTGCTGGAGTCTTGAAGAATGAGGAGGACACAAGCAAGTGAAGACAACATGGAAGAACACGTCATGAAGGGGAAACAGCACGTACAAATGCAACCTGGATGAACGTGGTCTACCATCTTCAGGAGACCTCGGGGAGTTCAGTATGAGAAGGGTGCTAGCTGGGGAGGATTAAGTACTTAAGACTAGTAAACACTCAATAGGGCCTACCATGCAATGAAAAACACTTTGGATTTATTCTAAAAGCAATGGGAGCCACTGAGGGATTTTAACAAAATATCATGGATAAAAGTAAATGACAAAAAGAATGACATTAATTAATTTGTTTTTTGGTCTATTGTATTTTAGAAGAAGAGCTAGTTAGATCCTGTCTTCCCCCCACCCCCCAATCAATTATCTATTATTTACCAGACAGGATGTTACAGTATTTAGTATTGCTGGTAGAAATATAATTAAATTTCCTCGCTTTGGGGCAATTTAATGTGAAACTTAATGTCACAATAAATACAGCTATTTATCATTATCTCTTTTTTTGTCTATTAAAGGATAAACAATTCTCACAAATATCACACTGAAACAATAAAAGCATGCCGTTTTAATGCCTAATCTTCAAAAGCAAAGGATTATTAAATTAATATTACACATGGCAAAAAACTCATTGCAGTGCTGAGATCAAAGATGACCATCTACTTGGAAATGTTTTAAGTCTCCAAAGCAAGTACCCCTTCAACTATTTCTTTCATAAGCCAGTATAATCTCCGTATGAACGGAAAAGGACAAGTCAGCAGAAACATCTGATTGTGTCCTCTGGACATTTTTAAAGCCTTCCAACTGCTGTGTTAGCTTCAAAAGACGGCGCCCTCCTGAGACTTTCCCCAGCATTGCCTCCAGTGACAGGACCTGACAAACTGCTTTTCTCCCAACCAAGGAAATGGGAAATGACTCACTTTTTATTCATTCATTATTCAGTGCATTTGTTTTCAGTACCTACTAGGTGCTAGGCCCCTCCTTGGGAGCTGCCAATACAAAGATGAACACTTTAAAACCCAAATTACACATCAAGACTCATCACAAATGGGGCTCTCCCATGCAGGTTCCCTGATCACTCCAACCAGAAGTGATACCACCCAAGCTCTGAATATCTTGGCTCTTTATTTATTCCTCTGTTATAACTCTCAGCCCAGGCAACTTCCGTAAAGTGAATTTGGAAGTGAACTCAGAGGTGTGTACATGGCTAGGCCACCTGCTGCTATGAGCTTTGGAAAAATCACTTTTTCTTGTTGAATCTGTTTTTCTCATCTGTAAAATTTGGCTATTCATTTGGGGAAGGACAGTTTTTTTAATTGTTGTAAACATACATAAAACGCAGTTTTGCCGATTCTACATTTTTCAAATGTACGAGTTAGTGATATCAATTACATTAATCATGTTGTTCAAACATTAGCCATGCTCATTGCCAAATTCGCCATCATCATAAACAAAAACTCACTGCTTCCTAAACAGTGGCTCTCTCTTTCCCCCCTCCAACCTGCCCCTGGCAACCACTGGTAAACTCTGGACTCTACACATTTGCCTATTCTTGTTATTTCATATAAGTGAAATTATACAATATTTGAAGGACAGTTTTTTTTTAATTGCTATAAAAAAAATCTAAGCCTAGTATCCTTTCCATTATACCACATTACCTCCTGCAACACTGAATCTGTGAGAGTTGTGGAAAACTTATATTTCATACATACCTGCTTCATGAATCTCTTCCTTTCCAGTATATGAGGAAAACACCTGCCTGGAGAACTTGTACTGTTGTTCCCGAAAATTATTTTGTAAGTAGTCCATCAGCATGACATAACCTGACTGTTGCATTGTAAGAACTTCACAAAAAACAGCCAGCTGGAAGGAAGATTAAATAAATTAACATCATCTGCTCCAAAGGCATCAGCAAATGCTTTAAAACAGATATTTCTGAAGTAAGACTAGAAAATGATTCTCTTTTAAATTGCTTCACGTTGTATCACTGTTTGAATTTACTAGGTTACCTGGCTTTCAGAGATGCTAACGGTATCTTTAAAAACAATCCAGTCAACGGTGTCGGTGCAGGGAGGAGATGTCAGTGAGCCATTGTAAGTGTAATACTTGTCAGTGGAGTTTGGCAGAAGATTCAGCAGTATGAACGGATCTAATGCAGCCTGTTTCCCTACAAAGTAATAATACACATCTCAGCTGGAAACCCAGCACTGGAACTTAGCTATCCAAAGTTTCTAAGAAACAGAGACACGTACTTTCTTATGTTTTTAACTAGAGCAGAAAATTTAAATACATTTTAGATATATTTCAAAAACGGTGATACAACTGGCATAGCCAAAATATTTTTACATACATCACTACACAGTCTTAGATGCCTTATGTTGACACCAGCAAGGAGCTGAGAGATTATTTTACATATAAAAGATATTCAGAGGCCACAGGATCGTCTTGATAGACAAAGTAAACGCATTTGATGTGACTCAATACCCGTTCATGAAAAGCCTCTTAAAACCCATTGCAGTCAAGTCGATTTCGACTCACAGTGACCCTATGGGACAGGGTAGAACTGCTCCATAGGGTTTCCATGGAGTTGCTGGTGGATTCGAACTGCCGACCTTTTGGTTAGCAGGCAAGCTCTTAACCACTGCGCCACCAGGGCTCCACACAGCAAACTAATAATAGAAGGGAACTTCCTTATCTGATGATAATTATCTTCAAAAGCCTATAACAAACATCAAACTTATGAATGACTTATTTGAGCCTTTTCCCTAGAGATCAAGAATGAGGCAAGGATGCCCTCCTGTTACCACTTTCATTGAACATTGAACCGAAGGACCTGGTCAGTACAATAAGGCAAGAAAAAGAAACGAGTCATAAAGAGTGGATAGAAATAATACCAGACTAGGGTCCAAATCCTGGCTTTTCCAGCTATCAACTGTATAGCCTTAGAGGTCCTTGCTGAGTAAACAGAAATACTAAGCATCTAGTTAGGCGAGTTTTTAGACATGGAGGATTTTGGGTCTTTTGGTAAAAGAGAAGTAGGAAGATGGTGCACAGGTAGCTGGGTAGGGACAGAAAGTAAATGGCGTAATGAAAGGTGGACGAGTATCGGTCCCCAGCTACTCCAGGAGGCTATTAATTTTGCTTCCAATTAAGAGCTGGGACATAGGCAGAATAATGCTGTTCTGGAATTTACGGTATTCTGTGGCAGCACTGGCTTGATGAACTGTCTCTCTCAATAGCTTCAGGCAGTAGATATCAAAAAGGAAATTTTAGTCAAAGAATATGGGCAAATTTTATTCTTAAGCTTATATGAGTGACTTCCTAGAATTCCCAGAAATAACTGGAGAAATCTTGAGAGAAATGGCCAAGGTTCACAGTTACACATGTCAGGACTAACAACCCAGTGTTAACAGGCTGGTGTGAGGCCTGGGAACATTAACAATTCATATTTCATATATTTTTTGGTGTAGGAATTCAAACTAGCTGCCTTCTTTCGGTCTGGATAGAATCCACTTTCTGACCAAATGAGGTAAAAATTAAGTATGGTTTATAGGCATTCAAGGTTCAATTTGGCAATTTAGGTGGAAGAAGGGAGGTAACAGCTTTGGTTTGGGATTGCACCTTCCAAAAAGGAAAAAAAAAAAAAAAAGAAAGAAAGCTGCCTTGCGGGAATTTACATCTTCCTGATTTTGAAAAGTTCAGTCACTTCAGACCCTCACATGTAATTGATAAAGATCCATCAGTCCTAGCCCAGTCTTCTGCTTTCGAAAAAAGGATCTACATGAGTCTCACTTCTGATTTCAAATTTTGCAGCTTCCAGGAGAGTAATAATCTTCATTTTATTGATAACTCAGGGCAGTTTTAATACTCTGTATGTGTGTGCTTAATAAAAATAAAATAACAATAATCACAGGCCTGCAGTCTATCGCCAACGTTGTCAAAAGCGTTTGCTGTGATAAATGACAAGATCTGTGAAATACCAGGCAGAACAATATCCAAGCATATTGCAACTTGCTCTATGTAAGCATTCACCTTCTTTCAAGAATCTTATCTCCTCATATTGGTAAAGCAAAGGATTTGTCAAGAAAACCATGAGGGAATAAATTTTAACTTGAGTAAAAAATTCCTTCTTCACTTTAAAATAGGATTTTCAAAAAAATTATCTGCTTCCATATTAGAAGTTAATGCCCAGTGCAGAAACAGAATAGACAAATACATTTTAAATGCAGGATATAATTAGATTATTTTCACGAACAAAATCAGAAAACTTCTATTTCCTACTTACATTAACATTTTATGTGACAAAATTTTCTGATGAATTGTTCGTTAGTGAGAAATATGTAAACTGTCAAGCCTGAGAAGTGAGAGATCGCTCCTCTTTAAAAATGTAGTCACTTCCTCCTTTTGGAACAAGTGATTTTTATAATATTGTAAAAGTTCATATGCATTCAAACTAGAATCTTGAAGAAAGCTATTTCTCCAAGTAACTTACCAAAACGACTAACACTCTCGACTCCATCAATAATCGCTTTGTAATCCAAATTTTCTTCTATTCCAATCTGTTAAAGAAGAGTGATATACTAAAAACAGGATAAAATACTGTATTAACTATCTAATAAAAATGTAAATATTGATGTGTTCCATTTTAAGTATCCAAAAGTAATGTGCTCTAAACATGCCATTTTTTTTACAGCAACGTAAAAACAATGCAAAACAATCCCAAACCAGATTAACTTTCACATTTCCACTAAGAAATTTTTAAATGTTCTATTTCACAGTTACTGCTATATAATTATGATACACTTCATGTATAAAGAAGCAAATCTGTGGACTTGTAGAACAGTTTGCTCCAGCTGGAAGTGATTTACTCAGTTAATGAACATAAGTGTCCCTTTTTAAACATAGTAGCTAAGGGACACTTTTTGAAAATGACTACCAGTGACCATTCCAATTGTGAACTCTTCTATTTATTAGAAATTGTGTCTTGATATTTTACATCAATATTTCATGTGACCAAAAATACAATTAAGTTAGTGCTAAATCTATACATAATGATTACCTCAAATAAAATGGATAAAGCTCTTAACCTCCCTTTTCCTTTAACTGCTTCCTCAAAACTTGAAAATCGATCTGCATCAAAGCAGTAGATTTGCATCTGAAAATGTAACAATGGCAGCTTTATTATACACAAAGACTTTATAAAAATCAGCAAAGCGATTTGATAGAATAATTTACCCATTCAATAAACTCAGTTAGAAAATTCTACAGACTGTATAATTCTATATTCTATATAATTTCAAAATATTTCTTATCAGTTACATGTATATACAAGTACACTTGCTATCGTTTATTATCCTTCAATGGGGAAGAAAATATAGATTGTCAAGACTAACTTTCAGCCTCCACAGATAAACCTTGCCTTGTCTTTAAGTTAGACATATATAGAACCCAAATTACCACTTTGAGGTTACCAGGGGACACAAATAGTAATTTACTAGAGCAAATATCTTGGCTACCAAATGTTATTTTAACTATTTTGCTAGAATTCTTTAAAATATGGGTTTTGTCCTTTCTTGAATTTATATGCCTTTCTTGATGAGTTACTGTTTTTGGACATTATTATATTGTTCTATATTAATAGTAAAATTATTATTTAAATAGTAAAACTCTATATTAATAATGAAACTCTCAAGGACTCATTGCTTCTACCCAAAAGATATTGTAAGAGTTTTAAGTACTGTACTTTAAGTTTCCTCTCCTGCTGCGAGACTATATCCCTTGTTAATTTCGGCTTCAGTCCATATATGTCTATTACAGCCACTATTCTCACGTATAAAGAGCCCTGGTGGAGCAAATGGTTAAGTGCTCTGCTGCTAACCAAAAGGTTTGTGGTTCGAACCCACCCAGTGGCTCCGTAGGAGAAAGACCTGGCTATCTGCTCCCATAAAGATTACAGCCAAAAAAACCTTATGGAGCAGTTCTACTCTGTCACATGAGGTCACTATGAGTCGGAAACGAATGGATGGTACCGAACAAAAACAACATTCTCACTTATAATTTGATGCTTCTCATGTTGTGGGTTTGGAAGTCAGGTATCTCAGCTAGTTAGAAGTATAGACAAGGTAAGACAAGAAAATCTGAGAACACTGTAAGCGTGGTTAGTGCTATGATAAGGGGAAGACGGGGTATGAAGCCGAGGATGGCAATGGCCCTTGCCTTGGGTGGCCCACCAAAGTCTTCTCAAAGAGGAATTCAAAACTGATCCCTAAGGATAAGCAGGTTTTACCTAGGTGAAAAGGCAGAAGAGATGAATGTATGTTCAAGTCAGAAGGTCCAGACTGGGAAAGGCGTATAGGCAAGAAAGTACAAGAAGTACAGGAAATTGAAAGCAGCTTGCTCTGAATTCAACTGAGCATATATAAGGGAAAAGGCGGAGTGAGACGAAGCTGAAAGGGTACGCAGGGACCACATTAGGAAGGATTCTGAGGCTGTCCTAGTGGAGTGGCCTTGAGGGCAATGGGGCTAGGGAAGGGGGCTGGATAGGATGAGAGGTGGGTGAATGGAATGGGGGTGGGATGAAGATAGAGCGGAGAGATCAAGATTGGAGAGAGGGAGATTAGTTAGAAGAGCATTTAACAGCCCAAGTCACCGACTATAGTGGTTTCAGCTTTTCTCTGACCTCCCACGTGGTTTAGCCGCAGAGCTGAGAAGACGTGATTGTGGGGTGTGGGAGACCAGAAAAAAACAGCAAGTCAACGATGCCCCGCAGCTTCCCTGCTTGCACAATTACACGTAGGGTGTTTTAAGAAACAAACAAACAAATACCTCTGAGAAAGGGCTTGAGAGGCTTTTGAGTAAGAAAAATATATGAGATTCAGTACACAAATTCTGTGCCATTGATTTTGTTTGCTCAGTGCTTTCCGTTGTTGTTTGTTAGGGTTTTTTGGTTTCGTTTTTTAGCTTTTTGATTTTCTTCTTTGTTCTAAGTCGCTAATATTGTGAGAGAGCCAAACTATCAAAAATAAAGTGTTCTTTGTTTAATGAGTAGATTTTTGTTTTTTTTGGCAAATCATATTTATTTAATGTGTTTTTCCAAAGGATATTTAATATATAAAAAACTACAAGCCTCAAATTTGAAAGTGTTATCTATATTTATAAAATGTTTTCAGTCTTTTAAAAGATAATCCATCCTAGTCTTACTTTTATTATCAGTAACTATTTTGGATTATGAACATAAGGCAGTTTCATTAGAGGCAATTTAGAAAATAAAAGATACTTTAAAGTAGAAATAAAAGGCACCTATAATGCCATCGCCAACAGATAACTACTGTTAAAATTGTCTTCAATTATTTTTATAACAATAATAATTCAATCTCTCATTTAATCCTCAAGGTAGTTCGAGTACTATTATATCTATTTTATAGAAGGGAAAACAGAAACTTAAGTAAATTAAATATTTTATACAATGTCATGTCATATAACTAATAACCAAACGGTGGAGCCAGTTTTTAAATTTAGTCCATCTGACTTAGATTCTGCACTATTTAATTAGTTTGGGTGTTTTACAAAATTGGAATAATGAAACTGTATACCATTTGGTATTCTGCTTTTAAAAAACATTAATATTTTATGATGAATCTTTTTCTTGTAAATATATCACTCAGAACATGATTTTTATAGGATCTATTCATTTTATCATCGTGTATTTCATAACTGCCTTTTTGTAAATGAATCTTTGAACATAAACCTTTTTTTAGAATAAATTGTTTCAAATTGAAATGGTGAGTATTGAGAACACACACATTGAAGGCTTTGATAAAAACAGGCAAATTGCTTCCCAAAAAGTCTATCAGTTTATACTCTCCAGGCATATAGAGAAAGTGTTTGTTTCACTTTCGTTACTTATTGTAATTGTGAAAGTTGAAAATTTTTCCCATTTTAATTTGCATTTCTTTGATTTTTCAGTATGTTGATAAAATTTCCCCCATTTTTTCCCTACTGGGCTAGTAAAGAATTTCATTCACTTATTCTTCAACATTTATTAATCACCTATATGTGGCACTTTGGGTTACCAGGGGATCAAAAATCAAAGATGATTCTTATCCTCATGGATTCTTTTTCTCGTGGAGGTTAGTCTTGTGAGAAAGGCAGCTATTAATCATCTAAAATATAACTATAAATTCTAAACCTTGAATTATAAATTAATCAAATCATATGCTAAACACAAACTCCATGATTTAGAAAATGAAATAGTAATCAGGGGAACTACCAACTTACCTCAAGTGGAAATTTTTGTCCTTCTAAACTATGTTCTGACCCATCAGATGACATATTGCATTTTCCCCAGTGAAAAGTTATCTTGCTTGCTTTGAATGCCATTTCAGAAACTCCTCCACTGAGACGGTAGTCATTAGTGAGATTAATTTCCACTAAAATAACAAACAATAAAACTGTACCTAAGTTTCTAAAAATCAAAATTACAAGTTTCAACTAAATTTCCTTTTATCTAAGGTACATTAAAAAATCATTTATTTGATAAGTTAAAAAAATCATTAACTTGCAATTTTGGAGGCTGAACTTTGTAGTTTAGTACAATATACTTAAAAACCATGACATCCAGAACTTCTATCCCAGACTGTGGGAAAGAACGTGGAAACGCCATTCTTACTGAAAGGATTTTAGTCATCTCATATTTGAGCTCTGAGTGGCAGTCATTAGAATCTGCAACTCCTCTATCTGAATCCCACAGCAGATTTTATCTGACTATATTTTATAAGTCGTCTGGAGGTTAATGATTCTGTTAAGTGTAAGATTTGATATCTCTCAAACAGATTTAAATTGTCTTTGTTCTAGTGGCTGTTGACATCAGTCACTGAATCCAACATACTGGCCAGCCAGCTAAAGCTATAAACTTCCATTCATTATAAAAATAATAATAATGACAAAAATAACAATAATGGTACCATTGACGGTCCACATTTATTCACCACTCATAAGATGCCAAGCACTACACCAAGTACTTTCCAGGTATTAATGAGTTGATCCTCCTATGACCCTAGAAGGTAGATAACATTATAATCCCTCTTTTACAGATAAAAAGTCACCAGAAGGTTAAGTAACTTGCTCAAGGTTACACACGTAACCTCTCGTAGTGTGGTTCTAAGGTCCAAGGGCTTAACCACACTACATTAAGAAAAACAGAGTTCTGTTCAACAGCCACACCCTTCTAGACTGACCATGAAAATGTCAAGATTTGGGACAATGTAGATTTTATGTATTTAATTAATACTATAACATGTAATAATTTCCTTAATTATGCATTCAATAGATACTTCGTTAGTGCTTATTATATGTCAGGAGCTGATGTAGAAAAATTTCTAACCTCATGGGACTCAAAATTAAATTACAGTCATGCGTTGCTTAATGTGCATGATACGCTCTGAGAAATAGGACACTATGTGATTTGGACATTGTGCAAACACCATTATATATACCATTATATACGGGCAGTCCCCGGGTTACGAATGTCTGACTTATGGATAACTCATACTTAAGAATGGACTGCCATAAAGCCTATTATATTAAAAATTTGAGTTAAGTACATACAATGGTTTGTTACAATGCACACACTACTTTGTGATGCTCATGAAAACATTGCCCAGTTTGGTAGTGTTTCTTAAGTGTTATGTCTGTTATGTTAAATTCTCTGATCCGGATTTCTGAACTCTCTTATAACCTTAAGGGACTGTGGACATAGATGCGGTGCATGACTGTTTTACATTCAAATAACTATATTACAGAAATTTGGGAAACACTGAAAAAATTCACCCATGATAAAATCATCCAGACACAGCTACTATTAAAATTTTGAATATTTTTTCTAATCCTTTTCCTATATTTGTTTTTTCATAACTTACTAACATACATATAATCTTGCTTGAAATAAAAATATCAAAAAAGAAAAGAGTCCATTGTCAAAAATAATTTTGTCCACCCATAGCTTACTGAAGATTTTTTGTTTTGTTTTGTGGTATTATATTTTGCATGTCTTTAAAAAAGATAATATAAAAAAAAAAGCACTTAGAGAGAGTTCTTCTTAAGGATGGCTATGTTTTAAAACTTTCTAGATAGAACCACTAATAATTTTTCTCTCTTAAAAATTAATTATAGCTGATTGCTTTTTTCATATCCAAATATTGACTATAATGAGGCTGAGAAGACAGGCCCAAAATGTAACGCCCAAGAAAAAGAAATCCTGTTGACTAAGTAATGACCAGTGATGGAGTCACTAAAATGCATTAGCTGTATGATATGATATTATCTTTATCACATCTGCTAGTGGAGGTATCATTATTGTTATGTTTGTCTTTAATAACTGCACCTTACAGGAGAACAGGAATGACGTGATGACTCTGGGTCATTTTATTTCTTGTTCAAATTTTCAAAATGTTGCCTGTATTTCCAATTTTCTTGATTCCATTTAGTTTGTACTACTAATAGCATCTTTCCAGTTCATCTTACATTATTTGTAGGAAAACGAGAGGAAACTAATCAAAACACACTCTAGTTCCATAAAGCATATTAAAGTTACAAACAGAATGAAACATTTAACCTGTTTTCCCAGTGTTGTGAATAAATGTGTTTTCCAGAGATGGTTTATCCCAACCCTGAAATTTAAGTTTCTTCAGATTCACATTAACTTGTGTAAGATCTTCATCAATATTGATAGGAGATTGTTTGGGGCTATTACAGGCTGGATATTTCTTTCCCCAATTCTTTTGATTCAGTGCTCCTAGGGAAAGGAAAGTGTGAGAAGTTAACTTCTTAAATTACTGTGCAAAAGCTAAATTTTATATAATAGTTACTATATTACATAAAAATAGATATGATAGCAGGAAAATAAGGACATCTTTAAACTAATTCATAAAACAATCCTGCCTAGATTTACATGCTGGGTGTTAATATGAGGCACTATAAAAAGAGGCCTCTATAACAATCACCCCAAACGCAGGGTTAAGTAACTGTTTTGGTTGGCCATCACACTCTTCCACACTACCCAAAAGTCTAATTGAGTCATATAATCAGTTCTAGTCCAGGGTTCCAGATCGAAAGGAGGCCAGATGATGGGCATCAAGTGTTAACTTCCTTACCACTTTCCAAGGGGGTAGTCATATTCAAACCTTCTTTCTCCCCCTGCTATTGAACGATCTGGTTTAATTTCCACCTGTTCAGGGCTTTATGTATAAAATCATAATAATAACCAAGCTACCCTTGAAATATCTCCCCCCTTCTTCCTTTTTTTTTTTTTCTTTCTCTTTTTAAAACGTACAAGGTTTATTGTTTGAAAATAAGAAAAACAAAACAGGACTTTCTCTCGTAGTTTTCACTCACAGTGAAGTGAACGTTCACTTACGATGTCACCATCAGTTGGGATTGACTAACAACCACAAACCAAAACTGCTCCACTTCTGCCTTTATTTCACACTTACCTGAAATCAAGAACCATCTCTCATACCCTTATTTCACTGGACATTAATTTAGCACCCGCTGTTTTAGAAGTATGTTGTATTTAAAGTTCCATTAAAATACATGAAATGCTGTGAGTCCAAGTTTTAAGCCTCCTCCGGTAAAACTCTAGAATTTCTGCAGCCATCACACGAAGAGCAGAATATGGCAACACAGTTTTCAGCTCATATTCTTTTGATTTTGCACAATTGATATTTAGGGAAATTATAAGTGAACGTACCCTTATTACAACCCTAGTCTACACCATCTTCTTTTTGTGACAAAGCAGTCATGGAAGGCTGGCTTCTATCCAAGCTCCCTCTAACCACCACCTCTTATAATGTGACAAAGTGAACCTTTGCAGAGTTTAGCCCAAGGAAGAAATGCTAATTAGTCGCACCACAAAACTGCCTTATGCAGACAGGGAAACCAGGCAATCCATCTCATAGCAGGCAACTACCAGAATCAATAGGTGCTGAAAGCTGACTTCATTTTACAATCTAGCTCTATTCCTAGAGAGTACTTGAGTATAATATGCTTTAAAAATGCACCACCATGCATATTTTGGCTTCCAAAAGGGAACAGCTTTAATGATATGAGTAACATGTTGATTTCAAGCTACTGAATACTGGCATGGGGACAATAGAACACCGCTTATTTTACTAATGTTAGGGCAGAAGAAGCAGACAGAGACTGCTGCGTGAATGGGTAAGGCCTTTTTTTTATTACTTAAATTGCTGAATACAGTGCAAGAAATCCCAAACACACTTAAGGAAGAACCACACAGCTGTGATACACAGGACCATAAAATTTGAAGTCTCGAGTATCACTATATATGATTGATGAACCTGCTGTTTTCCATACGTTTAGTGATCTTTTCCACGTGGATGTCTAACAGGGATCTCAAACACAGTACATCTAAATGGACTCCGTTTTTGCCCTGAAACAAGCCCCTCTAAGAGTCTTTGCCATCCCCTGAATGGAGGAGTCATCCTGACGCCTCTTTTTATCCCTCAGTTAGCCTTTCTGGGTCTATCTTCAAAACACCTCCCTAACCAGACCATCTGTCATCCCTACCGGGACTGCCCTAGCCCAAGCCACCATCATTGCTTGCTTACAGTCTTGCTACTCCACAAGCAGCAGAACAGCATTGCCATCACCTAGGAGATGGTTAAGAGTCAAACTTCTGCTATAGTCAGTAACTAAGTCAGAATCTGCATCTTAACCAGAAGCACAGTAATTTTTTTAAAAATAGACTTTTTTAGAGCAGTGTTATGTTTATAGAAAAATTATGCACAGAGTAAAAAGAGTTCCCATAAAGCCCTGCTTCCTTCTGCACACTGTTGCTCCGATGATTAACATCTTACATTCCTATGGTACGTTTGTTACCACTGATGAACCAATATTGCTACATTATCCCTACTTTATTGTTCTTCTTCAGTTTATCACTACTTGACATATTAATGATGCTTATTTATTGTCTCCCCAAACTAGGAAGTGAGCTCAATGAGAGAAGGAACTTTCTCTGTTCACTGCTATACCCCAAACCTAGAAAAAATGCTTGGCACATAGTGAATATTCAATAAACATTTGCTGAATGACTGAATCAGACAAACAAGAAATGATGCTTTTGTTTTATGAGTTGGAGCTCACAGGGATCTAACATGAAATGTGAAATGAAAAAAAAAAAGAAATTAACGTATTTCTAAACTTATCTGCAGGTCACATTTAACTCTGTTGTATGATGCTTTTGTTGAATAGTCTCTGCTGAACTTCTGGTAAAGGATATCAAGGAAGACCTGAAGGCCAAACTGTATGTTCTCTGACACCTTACAGCACAAAGATACCGCAGAACTGAATTATGTTTAAAGTGCATCAAATGATTACACTGAGTGTGGACCTAGTTTAAATTGCTTCCCAGATCATGGTGCTTAGTACAATGCAGGCTCAAGATGCCTCTTTAATTTTTATCATTAAAAGACAAAATAAAAGAGGCCAAAATGGGAAGAGGAAATTTTTTGGTGGAGAGTATTAGTCCAGAAAAAAATAAGATCTTGAGGTTATTCTTGTAAAAGACTAAAAAGGAGGTTTTCCATATCACCACAGGTAGACTGCCAGGGGAAAGTGACCTAATAATGTTTTAAGATTGTGCACAGGAATGAAACATAACCGGTGCAGAAAGTACACTTTACCTGTCTTTAATAATGAAACATCATTATTTTAAAAACTCCCTAAGAGTTTTAACAGCAGTTGGAGACCTCAATCCACATAGCGATTAAAGTTCAGGATGATGTGCCTGAGAAAGCAGGTGTACCGAGTTCATTAGAATGCTATGGTATTCCGCTGAGTGTTATTAGCGACTGTTGTGAAGGAAGAAATTAGGACACTCATTGTAGTTGTGGCAGCAGATTATCAGGGTGATTCGCCCATAAGGAGGACTGCAGAGCACTGAACAGGAGCTCTACAGAATTATGATAAATTATTCATTTACACATCCATCCATTCTTTTAGCCATTCACTGACTCACCTGAATTGATACCACTCTTAAAAATTTCCTGTGCTTATGTGTACTGAAGCGCTGAACACACTGTAATTTAGTTTTCTGTTAACTTGTCCATTTCCTCTCTATCCTATTGCCAATTCAGGGTATGGCACATCTAGGAACAAATTAACTGCTTGTGGAATAGCCTTTGTGCACCAAATGGATGAATGTGTTCAATGTTTACACATTGCTCATCCTCTATTCCAGGCAAAGTGGAAAGCAAGTCTAGGCTCTGTAGGAGATGTTCATGAGACACAGTTCTCGTTTGTGTGCCTGTGTATTCTTACATTCCAGAAGGGTTGGGGGTGTTAAATAAATATACAAACATCTAAATGAGCAGACAGGATGAAGGAAAGTAAACATGGTGTAAAGACAGCGTAGGGGCAGTGTCTGACCTCCTCTAACTTCACAAGGGGGAAGGAGAATCAAGATCAACAGCCCAAGGCTGACGCCTATGAGGCGGAGGTCAAACATGCCTCCTCTCTCTGCCATCTTTACCAATTCTGACACCAACCGTCCCTCCCACAGAAATCTCTACTGTCATGGTTTGAATTATGTCCCCCTAAAAATGTGTGTATCAATTTGGCTGGGCCATGATTCCCAGAATTGTGTGGTTGGCCTTCATTTTGTGATTGTAATTTTATGTTAAAGAGGATTAGGGTGAGATTGTAACACCACCTTTACCCAGGTCACATCCAATGTAAAGGGAGTTTCCCCGGGGTGTGGCCTGCACCACCTTTTATCTCTCAGGAGATAAAAGGAAAGGGAAGCAAGCAGAGAGTGGGGGACCACATACCATCAAGAAAGCAGTGCTGGGAGCAGAGCACATCCTTTGGACTGGGGTCCCTGTGCCGAGAAGCTCATAGTCTGGGGGAGCACTGATCAGAAGGCCGGGAAAGAGAAAGCCTTCCCCTGGAGCTGACACCCTGAATTTGGACTTTTAGCCTACTTTACTGTAAGGAAATAAACTTCTCTTTGTTAAAACCATCCACTTGTGGTATTTCTGTTATAGCAGCACTAGATGACTAAGACATCTACCTTTCTGCTAGGTTTGATAATTCATTTCAGTGGCCACACAGAATTCACAGACAATACTCACAATTACGGGGATTATTAGGGAAGTAACAGGTTACAATTCACGGACACTCAGGATACAGTTCTTTCATTAGGACAGCCTCCTCTCAGCCGTGTCACAGACATGCCTCTCTCTGGCCCCTTGGCCTCTGCCTTTCTCACTCGGGCCAGGAAGTCCACTGTGCCCTCTCCTACTGGTCTCTTCTGCCACCGTTTCTCTGCCACCACTTCTCTCAATGTCTTCAGTATTACAGCTTTCTTTCTCTCTCTCTCGGTCTCCTGGTTCCAGGAGCTTCACATCTCAGGGATCCCAGGCCCAAAAGATATGCTCTGCTCTTGGCTCTCCATCCTTGGTGGTGGTGGGTACTCACCTGAATTACAAAATGTCTGTACCTTATTCATGTTGTATTTTCAGTCCTTTTCATAGAGGTTGGTAAATAAGATTTATTTGTTGAACAAATAAATGCTTCAGTAAGGTGTCGCCAGTTATCTACCTTTCAATGTCCACAGAATATAGGTCTTGAGTAATTCATGCTCTAGATCGGAACATATTTTAAAATACATTCTGTGTAGAGAAATATTCCTCCACCAGTCATTAACATGAAAATATTATCTAATGAAAACTAACTCAGAAACAAAAACCCACTGCTGTTGAGTCGATTCCAACTCAT